GTAAGATAAGTGGCAGCTGGCACCATGAGCCGAACGCCAGACACTTGCTAAAAAATGAAAAGCCAAGTGGCAAGTGGCATTCTAGTCGAGCACCAAGCACTTAAGCAAGATAAGTGGCAGCTGGCACCATGAACCGAACGCCAGACACTTGCTAAAAAATGAAAAGCCAAGTGGCAAGTGGCATTCTAGCCGAGCGCCAGGCACTTAAGCAAGATAAGTGACAGCTGGCACTATGAGCCGAACGCCAAAAACTTGCTAAAAAATGAAAAGTCAAGTGGCAAGTGGCATTCTAACCGAGCGCCAAGCACTTAAGCAAGATAAGCGGCAGCTGGCACCATGAGCTGAACGCCAGACACTTGCTAAAAAATGAAAAACCAAGTGGCAAGTGGCATTCTAGCCGAGCGCCAGGCACTTAAGCAAGATAAATGGCAGCTGGCACAATAAGCCGAACGCCAGACACTTTCTAAAAAATGAAAAGCCAAGTGGCAAGTGGCATTCTAGCCGAGCGCCAAGCACTTAAGCAAGATAAGTGAAAGCTGGCACCATGAGCCGAACGCCAGACACTTGCTAAAAAAATGAAAAGCCAAGTGGCAAGTGGCATTCTAGCCGAGCGCCAGGCACTTAAGCAAGATAAGTGGCAGCTGGCACCATGAGCTGAACGCCAGACACTTGCTAAAAAAGGAAGAGCCAAGTGGCAAGTGGCATTCAAGCCGAGCGCCAGGCACTCACGCACAAGACAAAGTCAATATGAAAAAATATTGAAAGTGGGTTTGAACAGAGCATAGTACAAAAAGTCTTATCATCTCATTCATAATAAGCTTTGAGGTTACAAAAAGTGAAGCGTTCAAATCACATAACTACAAAAGAGTATGAAATCAAGGTATCTGAAGAGCCCTAGCTAGTTGCCTCAGTACCGTCAGCCTCCTGGTTATGCTGACCCGTCTCCTCGTTCCCATTAGCCACCTCACCCTCACGAGGTGGGGAATCGAGATGAATAATAGAGTCGTTTTGCTGGGGCCCAACATCAGTAGTGACTATGGGAGATACCATAGTTGACGAAGGAAGAGCGATTAGAGGTTGAACGGTAGAGGGAGCTGTAGTGATCCTGGAGGAAGCAATCTCCTGACACTCATCAAATATGTGCTCGGCTGCGGTGGATTCTGGGTCAACATAGACCCCTAAAGGGTCAATCCCTAGATCCTTATCAATTTCATCCGGAGTTGAACTGGTCTGACCCTCAGCCGGAACTTGGTCAGAGAAACTATCTCGGAATCCCTGAGCATATCTAAGAGTTCCAACTCTTGAAAACCGAGCATGAAGAGCCAGCATGCCACCATTCACTCTACTAATGGTGTCAATCAGAGCGTTACGCTCGTCCAGAGCTCTTTTCTCAAATGCCATCCGAGCGGACTGCTCGTCAGTCAGAAGGAGCTGGAGCTCTGCCTTTTCATCTCTGACTGAATCGCGCTTAGTCTGCCAGACACTCTTCTCAAGCTGAAGGGCATCTTTTTCATCCTGAAGAGAGTCGGTTTCCTTCTTCAGAGCATCTCTCTCTTTTTCAGCTTTTTTAAGCTGAACCAATAGCTCGGTGTTCTTGGTGGCAAGGATAGTGTTTTCCTTATTAGCCACATCAAGGCTATCAGAGAATTTACGGGCCCTGGCGTTCCCCATCTCCACCTGCTTCTGCATAGCCATCATACCGAACAAAGTCTGCATAGATATGCATGAATACTGGTTAAAACGATCGCATGGTCAGAAGAATTCAAGAGCAAATATTATGAGAAGATTAATGGACTAGAAAATAAAAGTCACCTCTATGGAAGATAAGGGAAAGCGGCTGAACACCTCTTTCTGTGACAGACCCTTTGCTGCCTCAATGTCTTTGGGAGTCCATATGCTCCTGTAGTATGCTATGGCGGTCTGGCCATCCTTGAACATGGTCTCGTTCGGCTTCACGAATGTCCCATCCGTTCTGGTGTATCGAGGAGCCCATGGTGGCAAAACAGGGGTAGAAGCAGAGGCAGAAACTGAAGCTGAAGCAGAGGCAGCAGCTACAACAGGCCCAGAGGGGGCAGGAGTTCTGACTAGGCGATGCAAAAGAGTGCTCGGCCCAGAGATTCGGGTCCTCCTTGTAAGGGATTAATCCTCGAGGTTGACTCCACCGTCAGGATGAGGCCTTTTACCTCGCTCTTTGTCCCGAACACCCCCAGCCCCAGCAGCAGGGGTAGTAGTGATCTGTGGAGATGTGCTCGGGTTGGTAACGGGAGTGCTAACAATAGGATCAATAGCTACTACGCTCGGGATAGTGTCAGAGATGGTGGCTGAAGAAGAGGCTGATGCTGGAGAAGAGGTTGCTCCAGCAGCTATGGTGGCTGGGGGAGGATTTTTCCTCTTGCCAAAGGAAGGAATCTGAAGCTTGCTCATTGTATAGCCGAGGGCTGAAAGCGCTAGAAGGTTGTCTGAAGTGAGGAGGTCTGAGCAAGAAGGAATATCGTTCAGAACGTACTTCTTCAAGTAATTACTCCTATCCCTGCAAACACTGTAGCTCAAGTCATCACAAGGAATGCCTAAGGAGCGACATAAGAAAGTACAAAAGCGAGGAACACATATTTCGTAGGGACAATCATTTTTATGAGATTTGAATTTCTTATACGAGGAGATAGAACACACGCCAAAGGCGCTCGGGATTGGGTAATCCTCTGCAGCAGGCGAAGACCAGGCCCCACTAACACCCACAACATTATCCCTCCAACCCTTTTCAGATTTGATTGTGTCCGTACATATGGATATCTTATCGATCGGGTAAAAGTGGTAGAATGGATCTTCAGTTCGGATCTTACTGACCTTGTAACAAAGAAGAAGATCTATGAGATCAAGATCCAGACTTCTGTCACGAATCAGTAGTAGCACAACGGATATGATTCTAAGGAAATTTGGGTTTACCTGCAGAGGGGAGATCCCCAATCTATTGAAAACATAGTTAAAGGATGGATGCAGAGGGAACCTAACGACATTCAGTTGAAGGTTAGTAAATAAAACCTCGCTGGGAAGAAGGCCGGCACCGGTCATAGTATCAACATCTCTAGGGCAAACCCTAACTTGGATATCGTCAGGAAGTCTAAGTCTCATACGAAGAACATCTAGATCTATAACCATGGTGAGAACGAATGAAGGATCTAAAAGAGTAAAAGAAGTCTATCGAAAGTAAAAAGGAATAGGACTAACCTCCGGGATAGAAAGCAACAAAGAGCACTGCAAGATCGCTGGAAGAATGACTCTTGTAGAATTTCACCGGATGAAATTTAGCACGATTCGAAGAAGAAAAGTGAGAGATTTGACTGATGATGGAGAGAGATGGAGACGGTAAAAAGGCATGACGTGACATTCTAGAGCCTTATAAAGACGAAGTGGACCCGAGGGCTGAAGCGTCAGGGAGGCGAGAAGTTTATCGAATCTCGGAACATTGATTCCGGATCCGACCGTCCATTCCCCCATAAGAGTTTCTTGAGCTGTCAACATTATGATGGGACGCCTTTGATAATTACCCCCTTATTAAATAGGGAGTAATTATGGGGGCAGTTGAGGATGCCAGAAGCGACATGGGCCGGATATGACCCGCGAACATGGCATCCGGTCCGAGCAGCTGGGTCCAACCCATAGAGAAATACCGCCAGATGGGCCGAACGTGAATAGCCCATCAAAGAGGACCAAAGCCCACATAAGAACGGGCCCAGATCTAGCAGTCCATTAGTGTTTGTAACTACCTATAAATATGTGAAGTGATTATAGAGAAAGAAGAGGATTATTATTCTGTTGAAGTGTAAGAATTCTAGAGAGAGAAAATAGAAATGAATTCCTTGCATCTTCAATGAATAAATAAAAAAAATTTGAGGCCTTTCTATTGGCTGGGAGACTGGGGCCTTAGGCAACTGCCTAAGTCGCCTAGGATCCAGCTGCCCCTGATTCAAAGCCTCATTAGCTATGTAAGCACGGACATATGATACAAACACAATACGACACGGATACTTCGACACGTCAAATTTTTAAAAAGTAGGACGCGGGTACGGCGTAGATACGGTTACATATAAATATAAATTTTTATTTTTATACATCTATTCAGTAATAGTATTATGGGGGAATTGCAAAAAACTCCCCTTGATTATCACTCACTTACAAAAAATCTCCTTATAAATATTTTTAGCAAAAAAAAAACCCCTCAACTATATTAAGGGGGGCATTTTAACAAACACCCATCTCTATCTAATTTTCAGACGAAATTTCATCAACAGGTTTTTTTTTTTTTTTTTTTTTTTTTCTACTTTCTCTCTCTAGCCTCTCAATTGTGACAACCCGAATATTTTCTGAAGTTATATCTATTTCATTTCATTTTTAGTTATCACAATTAATTTGATTAATTATGATTGGTGACTTATCATTTGGAGATTGATTAATTGGAGACAGTTTATTTAATTTTTTTGTTACATATTACATATATATATGTAATCGATCCATTTTCTTGCACCTTTGTGAATTTTTCTAATATAATTCATGTTAAGTATGTTTAATTTGAGTTGATTGTTTTTAAATTGATTTACTTGGGTATGTGAAGCATGTTATTGGGATATTTGATGGCGATGGCAAAAGTGGGCTACCTAAATGAAATGAAAAAAAAAAAAAAGAAATATGATGGTAGCGGGACCCAGTGGAATTTTTGGTTCAATTAATGATTAACTTTTTGTATTGCTTTTGAGTAAGTCATATGTGTATATAATATTCTTTTAGGAACAATGCTTGCATCCTAGGGGGTGAATCTCATCCTCCGCGCTGACGTGGGCCAATGACGTGGTGACACGTGTCCAATATTAAAAATAATAATAAAACTTGGGCAATGCCCATTTTGTCCCGGTTCAACCCATATCTTATACTGTCATCTCTCTCTTTCTATCAACTCTTTGTTCTCGTTGCAGAGAGAGGTTTAGAATTGCAGTGACGCCGTACTCTTAAAGCTGAGGATCGGGCGATGAGATCAGCGAAATCAACGGCTTGATCGCACCGGTGCGAGCGATCTTGATTCGGTTCTCGGACTTGTTCTTGGCGAGGAGCCTGATCTCCATCGCCGCTTGCTTTTGATCCTCGATTGAGCTCGCCTCGAGGTTGGAGACGAGTTGCCTGCTCAGCTCGTCAGAATTCTCCGTATCATAGGCGACCAAGAGTCGCCGGCTCTGAGATGACGCCGTTGAGAACTTGCCAGATCGGTCGTTGTTGCAGTCAATGAAGTCTGCCGAATCATCGTTGAAGCGCAGATCGTTCAAGTGCAGGTCGATTAACAATTGGTCGGCGTTTAATCGGAATTGTTGGGTATCTCCGGGAAGGGGTAATGGGGAAGTGAAAACGACCTCGTTTGGATGAAGTTGTAAAAGAGTTATAAACATGAAGTTCCAAAACCTCAATTTTTTTAACCGGAGGCACATCGATCTCCAACGAAGGCCTGCGATGGTTGAAGCTCGACTGACAATTTGATTCAAAGTGATTTGAGGTCTGTGAATAGAGTGATTCAGATACAGAGCTCGAAAGAACAAATTTAGCACTATTGGTCCAATCCTGAGTTTCGTCAAGTGTCGCCATTATCAGAGAGAAAGAGTGAAGTAAGTTGTAGACTGAAACTGAATTGTTCTGAAATATAGTGAGAGAAAACAGATGAAGAAATCTAGAGATAGAGTTTGAAATTGGAGAGGTGATATTGAAAATGACCTCACCCTTGAATTGAAAACTCTTTTACAATGAAAGAGAACACCTAGTTTTTGGGATGCTGTAATTGTGATTCTGTTATCTGGTTTTCAATGAAATTGCCATGTTTTTACCTTAAATTGTGGTTTCAGTTTAATTTTTATTAAAATCCCAATCTCTATTGATTTGATTTTGAGTTAAGCTTGCTTCATTTTATTAAAAGTGGTTGATGTGTTTTCATAAAACACAAGAGCTTAGAGTGAATCAATTTTGTGAAAACTAAAATGAATCAATTTTGTGGAAGTATTTGCAATGAAGCTTAGAGTCACTGGAACATAAAGAGAATGAGCTTAGTTCAAAGAGATTCTTTGTACTTCATCTGATCTTTTGAACTTCTCTTGTGGCACAAAACGAAAACTCAAAGAACATGGGTGAACAGAGCACTTCGTTCCTGCATTTCTGTCATTGATTCAGAATTCATATCTACAGAATGACTAACGAAAGTAGCTAGCTTTCAACCACTTGATCTGCCCGAGATCTCTCAGAGCAGCATCAGTAGGAATTTGACAAGCAATATAAATCAAATAGCACGACAGAGACAGAGGGGAAGACCCGACTCACATAAGGCTAATCTTCCTGTGGGAACAGAACGTTGGCTGCTAAAAGACTCTCTTTCAACTCACAGGCAGAAAATCCATTTGGAGAAACAATATATATTTTTCTTGTATGTTGCTTGATTATCAACGATTGTAATTCAGTGAAAGCTCTAAGTTATTAAAAACATACAATCCCAAACAAGATACAAAATATTCTATCCATAGCATCCCAAAAATAGGCTTAATCGGACAGTGAAAGCTCTAATTGATTAATCAAAATAGGATACAAAATATTCAATCCATAGCATCCCAAAAACTCCACCAAACAAGCCTCGGATTGACTAACAAGTTTTTTTTAGTTATAAAAACAAAAAGTAACACAATACCCTGCCGAAAAACTCCACCAGGCCTCACAAAGTAACAATCCTAGCATTCTCCAAAAGCTCCACCAAACAGGCCTCAGATTGGAGGAAAATTTTCAAAAGGGTTGCCTTCTTGTGCAGTTTGTGAGAGGTTGCCTTCTTGTGCAATTTGTGAGAGGTTGCCATAATGCGACTCCTACAAGATTGAAAAACTAAAATTATAAGAAAGTTAAAATAAATAAATCTACATCATTAATTTGTAACATTATCAATTATTTTGTTTAGATAATATAATTTCCTGAAGTAATCGTGTGTAAAACATATTGGGTTGCCGATTTGTGATTGCCTCAAAATTTTCATGATCATAGTTCATCATTGAATGGGATGCGGAAGGCGTCTCTACTCCAAGACCAATTTGAGATTCCTGTCAAATATAAATTAAGCAATAATTACAAAATAGTTGTATATTTGTTTTTCTTCACTAATCCATTGAAATTGTAAGAGGGTTTGTTCATATAACTAACTTAACATATATAGGTGCATAAACATAGTTTCAATAAGAAGCATAAATTGAGTATCCTTAATATAAGGCTTTAAGCAGTTCTTCGCCCAATTAGGACACTTGAGAAGCATAAATTTTAGAATCATATTTTACTTGAAATACATACACATCTTATTGTCACGATTCTCTGAATTATTGCAAAGTAACAATAGTCTAATTAGATTCACTGGAAAAAAAAAAAAACCCACACACACACAAATGAATTTTTAGTCCGCTGATGTGGGGAACTGGAGTCCTGATATTGTTTGGGAGCAGGAAGAAAAAAAATCCACCTCACCTTTTGCACCTACCATATTTTATTCACTAGTAACTTTGTCATTTGATGTACACTATATATCAGCTTACTAGTTGGTGAGAATGCATGAAATTGGCTAAACCAACTAATAATTGAAGTGGATTGTTTCAACAACTTTTTTTTTTTAAAGGAGGAATAGGCAAACAAATTCAAGTGAAAACAATTCACATGAGTTGGTGCAACAACCACAAAGTTCCAACAGTAGAACATAGAATGGAGAGAATTCATAATAACAAATTTGCACATATTGCTTAAATGAAGTGATGAAACTAGATACAAGTATATCTATTTAGCATTTTCACATACATCCCCAATTGGGTGTTGGTGTACTTAGTGCAACACTCAGTTTGGAAAAATTATATCCTTTTGTACTGTAAATCTAATTCACACTCTCATGTTATAATTCATTACATTAAGCTACAAGGACCAAAAGAACGAAAGCCATGTAGAGACCATTTTGTTGTCCATACAACTAAGAAATAAATTTGGGAAGAGTTGAATGAGTTCCAAACCAGGAAAATTCTACTAAAAATAGGCTCCTACAATATCCATTGAAAAAAAAAAAAAAAACAAACAAACCCACACATACACAAATGAATTTTTAGTCTGCTGATGTGGGGAACTGGAGTCCTGATATTGTTTGGGAGCAGGAAGAAAAAAATCCACAGAAAGTTTGTATTTAGATGTATTTTGTGTAGTGTGATGAATTTGATATAGATAAATTGCAGTGGAGAATTTTTAAGCAGGTAAGATGTATTCTGATTAGAGGTAAGAGTTTAAGCTTCAAGAGTTCAAGTAAAGGTAAAGAAATATAATACAAAAAGAAATGAATTACCTGGGTAAAAATATCATGTCTAGCTTGTTGCTCTTGTGAGTTCCAACTACTAAAAATAGGCTCCTACAATATCCATTGAAAATAAAAATAAAAAGTTAAGTACAACACTGATCACACTTTGATTTATTTATAAAGTTTCATATAATACCTCAGGGGTCTTTTGTTGTCTTGTTGAATCTTTGGTATGTAAGTTTTTTCTTCGCTTTTCAAGTGCACCTTTTAATCGATTACGTGGACGCCGATTGTGGCTTTTCTTTTAAACCCTATTGACACACAATTCTTTTGTGGAGCTATCGTATCAACTTCCTCATTTCGACCAACTAAACTTTCGCCGCTACTAACATTATTTGAGTAAAGTTCTTTCTTCAATTCCTCCAAGTCATTAAGCAACACAAGAGCACGATCATTTGCATATACATATAACTTCTCATGTTCCGATGCTAAAGATGAAATCTCACGAAAATTTCGACACAAATGACTATAACGCTTTCCCATAGACACTTTAGGATTGTCATTGGCTTCAATTCCATGATAATTGGTGAATGTCCTTGCCTTTGCATCTCTTGTCCATCTTTTCATGATATATTGGGGCGGAATCCTTTTTATATTCTTCTTATCTAACACTTTCAAAGCATGAACACATAAAATCCCAATAAAAGTGAACTTTATACAACTACACGACTGTTTCTGTTGAAGCTTCGAAATTAACCACATACCCTTGAGATTTTCCAACACAAGATACTATGTATTCAACTTTTGTCCCATCCTTTGCCACTTTATACACGTTGTAATCACCCAACCTCATGTACTCTTTCTAAAACAATTCAAACACTTTCAGGGTGTAGATTTCTACACCATGACGTAACATCACCACATTAGTTAATAACATGGGCTTACTTCGGATCATGTTAAAATCTGCACGTAGTTCTTCATACCACCGATCATTCAAAACCCTCTCATAATGCTCAAAGAAACGCAAAAGATTATGACTCGACTTCAAGTAATTCTTTAACACATTATTCATACTTTCACTACGTTTGGTAGTTTTCATATCCGCAGTGAAAGTGTGTCGTCCATAAACCATTGCCCAACTCTTTCAACCATTTATTCTCTTCAAGACTGTATTTTCCAGCATACTATTCCATGCCAATAGCCGCTCATTTTCATCTTCATAATCGTACACACACTTACTAAGGTCATAAGCAAAGTGGTTTGATTTATTAAACACATGACTCAAATTCTTGGCTGCATTTTGATAAATATGCCAAACACATAATCGATGTTGAGATTCAGAAAAGACAAGCGATATTGCTTTTGCCATTATAGCAGATTGATCTATCAGAATTGTCTTAGGCTGCTTTCCGGACATTGCATCAAGGAAAGTCTGAAACAACCACTTAAATGATTCAATGGTTTCATCGTAAAGTAAGGCTGCACCAAACACGATTGTTTGTTTATGATGATTCACCCCAATAAATGGTGCAAAAGGTTAACCATATTCATTTGTTCGATAAGTACTATCGAAGCACACAACATCTCCGAATAGGCCATAATCATTAATTGAGCATGCATCAGCCCAAAAAATATTAGTGATCATATCATCCTCATCCACTTGCATTGAACAAAAATATGATGAATCCTTCAGCTGCATTTTTTTAAAATATTCTAAAATTGCTCCTGCATCTCTTCTTAGCATTGCCATCTTTCGCTTTCTATGTATGTAATTTCGGTAATCCTTATCTAGAAAACCAAGATGTTCCCTACTGCCAACTTCTCTACTCATCAACTCCATAGTTCCTTTTAGTGGCAATCTCGACTTCTCTGCATCTTCAGCATGTTCTTTTTGAGCCTTTGAAATATTTCGATTAACTCTCATCATATGTTTCATTGGAGTTCTAATTAAGTCATGATTATGGATTTTGTTCAACGATACAACTTTGAATTTGCCATTGTTTTGAAGTCTACATTTCATATGAGCCAAACAACCAAATCTTGTAATAGGTTGATGGTACAAAGGAGTTTTGATCTCTTTCCTTTTACCTTCTTTTGAACAACAAAAGGTAACCCCCGTGATGAGCGCCGCTATATTTTTTCTCTGATGATTTCTCCTTACATCGAAACCAAGTTTGCGACCATAGTTGAGGTACAACTTATATGCTTCATCACATGAACTAAACTCCATTCCAAGTTCTAGTTCATCTCTTTCTTCTTGATTTTCTTTTTTTGAGGAAAATTCATTAGTAGGAGAAGAATAATCATCATCAATTTGACAACTATTTGATGGTTCACTACTTAAGCTTACATAATCTATCTCCTCCATAAGTCTGCATATAAATGATTGTGACTATTAAAAGCTGCCAATTAAATGTAAGTAAATCTTTTTATCTGAGATAGAGCATTCTATATACAACACTTTTGTATCAGAGATAGAACAGCCATAAACATTTTATATATATATTTTTAATTACATTTGCACCAAATTAAATCTATCATAATTGCTAAGCTATTGGTGGCTTATTTTTGTTTTCATTATACACCATCCACATATAATTAATAGAAATTTTTTTTACGGTGGCAAAGTGAGATCAAATGGTAAACTAGAACTTCCAAGAAATATGAAATGCAGTCATCAGCAAGAAGGCTATGATTTCAGTCTCGTCCATTACACAAACTATATCACAATTTTGAATTTTTGACAACACCAAACAGGACAACCAAAAAAAATAAAAAATAATACTAATAATAATAAAACCAAAATAGAAATATAGAACAAAACCGCAACTGTTGAAATGTAAAACTGTGTCATCATTTAATACACCAAAAACATGTTTATTTACAACACTCTGTTCTCATGTTTATCATTTCTTAGGGATTAATGTTTGATGCGATTCTAGAACTCAGATTCACGAACCCATATAAGAACAACCACTTTGTGCAAAAAAAAGTTCTCACTTTTTAGGATCAAGCGATTGAAACCAAAAAAAATCCCCAAATATCAAAAATCAAAATATGACAAACTCAATCAATTTTAAGTGATTGAAAAATAAATAAATAAAACAACCAAAACATAAATTTATAATTGTTAATTATTGAACAGAGAGCTTTAATCATCATCACAAAAAAAAAAAAAACACCAGAAGAAATAGAAAGCAGCAAACACCAACTTGAAAGCGAAATTTGATATTTGGAGGCAAGCATCAAAGTCGAATAGTGCTTAACAAGTAAACAAAACTAAATATTATGGAAAATAACTACGACTTACCAGGAGGGATGTTGTAAAAATCAAAGATCTACTAGAGATACTGAAGGGTCAACAATTATGTAACCTGTGCATCAAAGGAAGGGAGAGATTGTAAATGATGTTGTTAACAAGATTATTAAGTGGACAAATTGCCTTTAATGTAAAAAAAATAAATATTTTTTATATATACAAAAACAAAATTGGAATGAAAACACTAACTGACATTTTTAGAGTGAGAGAAAGAGAGTCAGATCTTGGTGGCGATGGAGAGGAAGTGAAATTGGGTTTGAGGCAGTCTGTAGACACTGAGAGAAAAGATATTAGGTATTGAGAGTGATGAGAGAGAAAAGAAAAATGGGTTGAACCTGGGCTACCCAAGTTTTATTATTATTTTTAATATTGGACACGTGTCACCACGTTATTGGACCACGTCAGCGCAGAGGATGAACCTCATCCTCCCCCCGCAGGATGCAAGCATTGTTCTTCTTTTAGTGCCTTGTTTGTCGGCAGAGTAAGGAAATATAAGGAAAAGATGAGGATAAGAGAACTGCCAAATGAGGAAGGAAAGTTGATGTTTTTTTCGTTCTTTATGGGTCCCACGTGGTGACCTTTTGGGCAACTTTGTTTGGCTTTGATTTTATGCACATGGGTATTGTGCATAAAGATGAATGTAATGAGAGAATGAATTTGATGATAAAGATAAGGTGGCGGGGTCCACTAGTAAGTGTGATCATTTTATTGATATTTGTATGTGAGCATATTGACTTTTCTTGTGTCGGTGCATTTTGCCTTTATATATATATTCATTTGTTGTATGTCTTTGGCGAGACAAAGAATTAAGTAAAGATTGAGAATTTAGAGAATTAATTGAGGACACGCAAACAGAGAGAACCTAGGGTTCACAGTGAAGGCAAAAGCTTTGATATTCTAGTGATTTATTTCTTTTATAGTGGATTTAGACTTTGACACTGAAGATAAAGTTGACGAGCGCGTCGAGATCTACGATTTGATCGGAGCAAAGTGTCGTTTAGCCATACTTGGGATTTCATGGTTGGGCAAAAATTTGGGGCTTTTCACCTATTTTGAGGTAGGGGTTTCTACGCTATGAATTTTTTGACTTTTGTGAGTTGTTTCTCCATAATTTGTTGTATAGCATGCTTAATTTGTTTAAGTTTCTTGCAAAATAGCTTAATTGTTATATATGAAGTGTGTGGCCATGTGTTAATTGATGTATTATGAAAAATGAAAATACATGTTTTTAAGTGATAGTATTATATGCCAATGGTTTAAATTACTATGTGTTACTTGAAATTGTATTGGAAAAGTATACTTAAGTGATGGTATTTCATGCCTATTGTTTTAAGTTGCTAGATTTTGTAATATGGAAGCATGTCAGTCATTTCTAGTAATTTTTCTACAATGAATGTTATGTTGTTAAAGTTATACTTGTTGGACATGAAATTGTTTATTGGCATGGCGTGAAAGGCATGGTATATTCATGCATGGCATGGGGCAAGAAAACGGGAAATGTGATTTAAAAAGGAAAGAAAATGGTTTTTGGGAAAAAGGTTTTGAAAGAATTTTGCGAAAACCCGGTCACCTAGGAGTTGCCGAGGGACCGTGGCGTTAGTGTGACCTAGAAGGAACTGGGAGACTTTCTTAGTGTGGTTGAGTTACCTGGCCCCAAATGACTCCATGGAGTTGCCATGGGTCAGGGACAGTTAGTCAATCCTTCTCTCGTGCCACCATGGAGTTGCCATGGGACGGGTTGCATTAACTGTTGGAAATAATGACGGATAAAGGTTTTGAAATGGGGAGCGACATTGTATACCATTGCATTCCATAGCATGTCATGGTTTGATGAGGATTTTGATGCATTGTTGTTGGAATTGATGTTATATTTGGTGCGACCGAGCGTGTGCACAAAATAATGCACAACACTTAAGGTTTTGAAATAATGTCAAGTGGGCACCATATTTTATAATTTATAAAACCACTAAACACTTATACTATGGAGTATGAAGTGAGCAGGGATCGTCCCAAGAGATCTAAACAATTATAGGTTTTTCATAATTGAATTCTACTTTAGTGCTTATGTGATTGCTAAAAGGTTTGGTTTTGTGATTAGACTAATTTTAAGCTAAATGATTGCAATAAAATAATGAAATTTAAAAGATTGGAAAGAGACTTAGGGTGTAGGATTCACCACTAAGCACATTCCCTAACTCACCCACTTTCAACTGATTGGGGAAATAATTAAGTGTAATTCTAATATAACTAATACTTGCAAAGAAAAGTATGAAGCATCAATTTCAAGCCTGAATTGCCTACCTAATAACAAATAAACTAAGTGTAATGCAATTCACCAATCCAAAAGAATGATCCATCAATTAATTAATCCCTAATAATATTCACCTAAATAAAATAAAAACTAACCATAATCCAATGGCTCACTGGGCCTTAAGTAACAACCATATTAAAGCCCAATAGTTCACAAAATAAGCCCAAACAATAAAAAAAATCTGTAATATTGCCAAGTCCTGGGGGATCGATCCCCCCAGAGTTGGAAATTTCCTTTAAGCCTTATTTAGCTTCATTTTGGCCCCGGGCTAATTGGTTTGCTTCTTCATCTTTAGGAACATCATCAAAGGCTCGAGATTGACCGCTTTCGAAGAATAAACACACTATACGAGCAATGGGCTACGACTTCTTTTTATCATTTTCTAAACTTTTTCTGAATATCTTTGCTTGACTCCAAGAAGGCTTTAATGGACCGTTCTTAGCTCATTTTAACTTTATTGCCCTGAAATACACATAAACATAAATTAGGACTAAAACATGAAATTAAGATAGATGCAAAGACTGAAATACCCTAGCTTAGGTGTTGAAATGTGCAATATTTAAGCACTTATCAATATCTTCCCTTCCGATTAAGCATGACGCCTCTATCCTTTTCCAATGCTTTGTATGGATTCATGGGGTCGTAAGAGGTGTGTCTTAGATACTTCCTACTGAGCGGTTGACTCACCCCATTTTATTATTAACATTTTTCAGGATGCGAATGAGAAGTGGCGGACGACGCTCCTCCACAGGTTTTGATGGGTTAGTGGATTGTTTGGTCATATTTTGTAGTTATGATCTCATTTATTATTATTATTATTATTATTATTATTTCTATAAACCTTAGGATGACACGTAGAAATGACCATAGTGTCCTTAGACGACCTCGGGTTCGGGTAAGAACACAATTAACGATTCGGACTCTTGGGTTCAAGTCTTTACATCAATCTCCTCCATCCAACCATCCCCACAACCTACCTCCGCCACCGCCACCGCCACCACCACCGCCACCGCCACCGCCACCACAACCCACCTCCAAAATAGAAATATAATTAACTATTTATCTCTATTTTATGTATGTATATATATACATATACATAGTCACCACCAACACCGTGGCCACAGCCCACCCCCTCTCTCTCTCTCTACCGCAACCTACACCCCAAATCGCAGCCGTCGGCTGCATCACCACCGCCTCTGTGCTCCTCCTCCTTGTTGGGAGAATTCAAAAATAGACTGATTCAACCTGAATCTCACACAATTAAATTAGCAAAAATATATCTTCCCTCTATGTGTAAATCTGTTAGGAAGCAATTAAATATAGCACAATAATCTGAAAATATAATCAATCACACACACATAATTGACACAATCAATTTTAGCGTGGAAAAAACTCCCCGATGTGGGAAGCAAAAAACCACGGGACCTAGTCCAGTTAAAATCTCCACTATCAACCAAATAATGAGTACACAATGTCTTCTCTAATCGCAATTAGAGGCTACAAAACATCTCATCAAGATATCATCAAATCTTGGCAAATACAAAGAGAATTGGAGAGAAAAATACCAAAACACGGTTACTGTTCACGGATACGAATCACTGTTCCCGAGCTCAAAATCCGATCTCCACCGTTCAGATTTTAACTCATTGAGTCGTGAACCTATCCTCCAAATTTCAGCTCGATCGGACCACGGACGAAGTGAAATCGGACGTTTGATGAAATCTGGGCAGAATAAAAAAACCTGCGTTTTTCTTCTCTCTCTTATTGAAAAACGGCTGATCTCTCTCACTGTCACTTTTCTGACTTCCTTAGGCTTCTATTTACCCTAAAGGGCTGGGCTATGGGCTTTTAATAAAACCCACTTGGGCTTTCCTCCATATAGAAGGAAATAAACCCAACAAATCTCCCCCTTTCCGACTATGTGGAGGGAATCGCCATCCCGGCGATCGAACAACAAACTTCAAGCTTCTCTCTTGGTAGGGTCTTTGTCAACATATCAGAACCATTATCATCAGTGTGAACCTTCTCAAGTTCAAGTAACTTATTGTTCAACGCATCTCTGATCCAATGGTATCGTACATCAATGTGCTTAGATCTTGCATGAAAACTGGAATTCTTAGCAAGATGAATAGCACTCTGGCTATCACAAAACAACACATACCTCTGCTGCTTGAAACCAAGTTCTCTCAAGAACTTCTTTGCCCATAGCAACTCTTTAGTCGCTTCCGTTGCTGCAATAAACTCTACCTCTGTCGTAGAAAGTGCAATACATTTTTGCAACCTCGACTACCAAGAAACAGCACCACCTGAGAAAGTGATTAAATATCCTGAAGTAGACTTGCGTGTATCCATATCTCCTGCCATATCTGCATCTGTATAGCCAACTAGCACTGGTTTGCCACTTCTAAAACTGAGTTCGAACTTGGAAGTGCCTCGAAGATACCTCATAATCCACTTTACTGCATTCCAATGCTCTCTTCCTGGATTTGAAAGATACCGGCTAACGACACCAACTGCATGGGCTATGTCTAGCCTTGTGCAAACCATTGCATACATCAAGCTTCCTACTGCTGAGGCATATGGAACTCTTTCCATATCTTCCTTCTCTTTATCTGTGGAAGGGCTTTGCTTGGTGCTTAACTTAAAGTGAGTAGCAAGAGGAGAGCTAACCACTTTAGCGTTATTCATTTTAAACCTTTCAAGCACCTTTCCAATGTATTGCTCTCGTGACATATACAGCTTCTTTTTTTTTTCTGTCTCGACAAATACGAATACCAAGAATTTGTTTTGCTGGCCCCAAGTTCTTCATAGCAAAGGATTGACTTAGCTGCCTTTTCAATTTGTTAATTCTTGAAAGATTCCTGCCAACAATCAACATTTCATCAACATATAGCAATAAAATAACAAAATCATCATCAAAGAATTTCTGCACAAATACACAATGGTCAGAAGTAGTCTTTTTATAGCCTTGCTCCCCAATAACTGACTCAAACTTCTTCTACCACTGTCTAGGTGCCTGCTTTAAACCATAAAGACTTTTCTTTAGCTGACACACATAATCCTCTTTTCCTTTCACCCTGAAACCCTCCGGTTGCTCCATATAAATCTCCTCCTCCAAGTCACCATGAAGGAAGGCAGTTTTCACATCCATTTGTTCAATCTCTAAGTTTAGGCTAGCTGCTAAGCCAAGAACCACACGTATGGAAGACATTTTCACAACTGGAGCGAAAATCTCATCAAAATCAATGCCTTTTCTCTGACTGAATCCTTTGACGACTAGTCTAGCTTTGTACTGTGGCCGTGAAGTGTGTTCTTCTTGCTTCACCCTGTAAATCCACCTGTTCTTCAAACCTCTTTTTCCTTTAGGCAACTTCACCAGCTGAAAGGTGTGATTGTCATGTAATGACTGCATCTCATCTTGCATTGCATTAACCCATTATGTCTTATGTTCATCTTCTATGGCTTCTGCATAACACTCAGGTTCTCCCCCGTCAGTCAGTAACACATACTCATCTGTAGAATACCGAGTGGAAGGGCGTCGGTTTCTGATAGATTTCCAGAGTGGAACATCTGGTGGTGTCTCTGGTACTGGTAACTGATCAATCTCAAGCTGTAAAGGAGTATCACTGTCACCTAGACCCTGCTGGTCATCCTAAGCATCATGTTCAACATGTGCTGGAACATCTGTCGAAGAAATTGGATCTAAGTCAATCAAACCATCATCGTACTGAGGCACTGCTTTCTCTGTTTTCTCAATATCTTGTTTGATTTGATCTTCCATAAACACAACATCTCTACTTCTCACTAGTTTCTTATTAACTACATCATATAACCTGTAGCCAAACTCATCTAAGCCATAGCCTAGAAAGATGCACTGTCGGGTCTTCACATCAAGCTTAGACCTCTCATCTTTAGGAATATGCACAAAAACCTTACACCCAAAGACACGCAAATGATCATAAGAAACATCCTTGCCAGTCCAAACTCTGTCAGGTACATTAAACTAAAGAGAAGTACATGGTGTGATATTAAGAACATGTATAACTGTACTCAAAGCTTCACCCCAAAAGGACCTTGGCAATTATGCTTGTGAAAGCAAGCATCTCACTCTCTCAACTAGTGTCCTGTTCATCGTCTCAGCTAAACCATTCAACTGAGGTGTCTTGGGAGGTGTCTTTTGATGTCAAATACCCTGTTGTCTGTAATAGTCATCAAAAGGACCTATGTACTCTCCCCCATTATTTGTTCTGATGCACTTCAGTTTCTTTCCAGTCTGCCTCTCAACTAAAGCCTGAAACTGTTTAAACACATCGAACACTTGATCTTTTCTTTTCAAGGTATACACCCACAATTTCCTTGAATAATCATCTATGAAGGTTACAAAATAACGAGAGCCACCGAGTGACATCATCTTCATAGGGCCACAGACATCTGAATGTATCAAGTCAAGTATACCTGGCTTTCTTGAAGGAGGGGAACTCTTGAAAGAAACTCTATTCTGCTTTCCTGCCAAATAATGAGTACACTTTTTCAAAGATGCACTCTTAATTCCTGACAGAAGATTCTTTTTAGCCAACATTGTCAAGCCTTTCTCACTCATGTGAGCAAGCCTCTTGTGCCATAACTCAACTGAGTGCTCATCCTCCATTGCATTAATAATGCCTTTGGAGATTCTTGCCTGCAATACGTACAAACTAGAAAATTTCTTGCCTCGAGCAACTATCATAGAACCCCTGGTGAGCTTCCACTGACTATTACTGAAGGAGCTGCAATAACCCTCATCATCAAGTTTGCCTGCAGAAATCAAGTTCAAGCGGATGTCAGGAATATGCCTTACATCTTTAAGGACCAATCTCGTGTCATTATTGATTTCCAAGCACACATCTCCAATACCAATGATTTTGGCCAAGCCATCATTTCCCATCTTTACTGTCCCAAAGTCACCTGGTATATAGGATGTAAAGGCATCCTCTCGAGATGTAGCATGAATAGAGGCGCCACTATCAATAACCCAACTGGTCTCATGGCATGCAATATTAATAGCATCATCATCATAAACAATGAGGAAGTCTTCAGAAGTAGTGGTGGCAACTCGATTATCATCCTTGCCATCATCATTCTTTTTCTCATTCCTTTTCCCCTTGTTCTCTCTCTTCAACTTTCTGCAATATTTCTTGATGTGCCCTTTCATGCCACAATGATAGCACTCAATATTAGCAAACTTGTTGGACTTGCTTCTGCCTTTATCTTTATTCTTCTGACCTCTGTTCTTATTTCTCCCCCGATTTTCTGTAACCAAAACCTCTGACTGTGAATTGGATCCCTGTGATTTTCTTCTCATCTCTTCATTCAGAACACTGCTCTTAGCCAGATCCATATTGATTAAGCCATCCGAAGCTGAATTAGACAATGACATTCTGAAGGTCTCCTATGAGTCCGGCAATGTACCAAGTAGACATAACCCCTGCACCTCATCATCAAACTTAATACCCATTCCAGCCAACTGATTAATTATTCCTTGGAAAGTGTTCAAGTGATCTGTTATTGCAGTCCCATCTTGGTATCTCAAAGTCATCAATTGTTTTATCAAAAACATCTTGTTATTTCCAGTCTTTCGGGCATACAACTGCTCAAGCTTATTCCAAAGTGTGCGTGCATGTGTCTCTTCAACAATATGGTTCCAAACATTAACATCAACCCACTGTCTAATATATCCACACACTTGTCGATGTAATAATGTCCATTCTTCATCAGATTTATTATCAGGCTTCACGCTAGCAAACACCAGTAAATGAAATTGCTTCACATAGAGAAGGTCTTCCATTTTTCCTTTCCAAGTGTGGTAATTTGAACCATTCAAAGTGACAATTCTACTTAAATTAGCTTCCATTATTTAACACAAGAAATTCAGCAATAATACCCGGTCTCTGATACCACTTGTTGGGAGAATTCAAAAATAGACAGATTCAACCTGAATCTCACACAATTAAATCAGCAAAAATATATAGTTAGGAAGCAATTAAATAGAGCACAATAATCTGAAAATATAATCAATCACACACACATAATTGACACAATCAATTTTAGTGTGGAAAAAACTCCCCGATGTGGGAAGCAAAAAACCACGGGACCTAATCCAGTTAAAATCTCCACTATCAACCAAATAATGGGTACACAATGTCTTCTCTAATCGCAATTAGAGGCTACAAAACATCTCATCAAGATATCATCAGAGCTTGGCAAATACAAAGAGAATTGGAGAGAAAAATACCAAAACCCGGTTACTGTTCACGGATACGAATCATTGTTCCCGAGCTCAAAATCCGATCTCCACCGTTCAGATTTTAACTCATTGAGTCATGAACCTATCCTCCAAATTTCAGCTCGATCGGACCATGGACGAAGCGAAATCGGATATTTGATGAAATCTGGGCAGAATAAAAAAACCTGCGTTTTTCTTCTCTCTCTTATTGAAAAACGGCTGATCTCTCTCACTTTCACTTTTCTGACTTCCTTAGGCTTCTATTTACCCTAAAGGGCTGGGCTATGGGCTTTTAATAAAACCCACTTGGGCTTTCCTCCATATAGAAGGAAATAAACCCAACACTCCTCAGTGTCACCGACCAATTGCAGATTTTGTTGTCAATTCCCGATTTTGGGTAGGTATTGATGGCCCAATTTCTGCCTTGAGTTTTGAAAATTTTCAGAACAAAAACATCTGCACCGGCACACTTTTACCTGAAGAGTAGTATACTTTTAAGCCTATTATGGAAAATAGGAGTTTCTGATTTCAAAATCACTCTATGAAATTATAATACACACATATGCATCGAAGTTATGTTCATGCCAGTTACTTAACCATTGTGTAAAATCACTGGGTCCAAAACCCTCTTAGGCTTATAACTATGAAGTCTTCAAAATGTCAAGAAATTTAGGGGGGGAAAATGTTGAGAAAATTGTTTTATCAGTTCATATATATATTTATTTTGATGATACCATCGCAGAAATTATGGGTTCAATTTTGAAAAGCCAAAAGCTTTCAAAGGAAAGCAATGTCAAAAGAAGTGAAAAAGACATGATAAACTGTTGAAAAGGGTAATTTCGTCCAAAAAAATTTAGATAGAGATAGATGTCGGTTAAAATGCCCCCTAAATATAGTTGAGGGAGGTTTCATAAGCGGATTTTTTACAAATGAATGATAGTCAATGGGTTTTTTTTTTTTTTGCAATTCGCCCTAGTGTTATAAAACTATAATTCATTTATAATTTTTATACTAAGAGTTGCTCTTGAATGAATTAGAAAATAAAATTATGTCATTATTGTAATAATTTTTATATCATATATACCAATATTTCACTACTTTACCATAATAGTATTCATATTATTTTCAAGATTAGGAGGTAAACTTGTGTTTAAAATGTTCGAGAATTGTCGGCAAAATGTCTAAAAAGTGTTTCGGAAATATCGACAAAGTGTCCAAAATAATAAAATTAATTTTTATTAATGGACACGTATATGAAGTGCCGGACACGTAACAGAGGAGTATCCATGTCCGACACGGGTACGGCTTCTCCGTAAAAGCGTCCGTGCTTCCTAGCTCCTCAGTAATTGAAGTTTCAAGACAATCTGGCAATCTTTTTTTTTTTTTTTATCATCACATTGGGTATTAAATGAAGTAACAAAATGAGCAAATGACACTACTAAAAAGATAATGAAAACAGTAATGAAAACTATTTTAATCCTTTAAAGAAATCGTATGCATCTGAACCATGTTTTCTTCTCCACCTAACAAATATTGTTCCCAGCAGTTCTCTGCCCTCCCACATCTTCTATCAAAACTCTATTCTCCTTTTACTACTACTACTAGTTTCTTATGTTCACTAACTACTCTGTTTCTTATGTTCACTAACTACTCTGTTTCTATCGCTCAGAAAGGTAATGCTGGGACATCAAGCTCAAGGGTGGTTCCAGCTTGAATCTGACCCCAACCGATGAGACGCCAGTGCTTCTCGATCCGCCTGCTCAGTGCAACCTTCTCTCCTGGGCTGGTACACACTGGTTTACTAAGTTGCAGCTTTGCCATGTCATTCCTTACAGCGATTATACGAGCTCCCGTTGACATGGACCCTATATTCAACATCAAAATCTCTCCCTTGACCAGCTTTGAGACCCTTCCCTGCTTCTCTGAGCCCTTTGTCTTAACACCCACAAGTCGGTACAGGAGGAAGAAATTAACCTGACCAAAGAGCACAAGGTTCAAAACCGGAAACACAAAAGATAGAATTTTACAAATAATAAAAGGGGATGACATTATGGCATGAAGCTCTTAGCAGGATCTTATAGATACAGCAAATAAGACCATTCTGAATGCTTGCAGAACAATATTATAATGTTTGAATTGCGGTTATAAATCAAAATGGAACGAACTTATCCAATTAGTGTCATATGCTATCCTCCAAAAACCTCAACCTCCGGAACCCCCAAGAAAACACACAAGCAACAAGGGGGCAAGACGAAAAAAAGATTTTTACAAGCTCTTAAAAGATTGATTAAAAGGAATGCTTGGTGCAAAGTACTTCCCTAAGCAAATAATAATATTCTGTTATGTTTAATCAGCGCAAATAGACAGAGGTATAGAAGCAATAATCTATTACCTCCAGTTCAGTGTAAACTTCAGGCAGGGATCCGACCTCCCCAAGAACCTGACCAACCAACCTATCACCACGTGTTAACGTAGGATCCATTGTAGTGCCAACGCCAATTAGACCCCCTGGCACTGCAAACTGCAGCTCATTTTGCTCAGCAAACAAAGATACAATTCTAGTATATATTGGGGTGCATTTGATATTTTTGTGCTCATCTTCTAGTATAATCCCTGGTCGAATTTCAATGAACTGATTCACCTGTAAAACACCCTGCACAGAACAAATTTGCCAAAATAAGGTAATAGATAAATTTAAGATACCCAATTTTAAAATCTATCGTGCACAACAATTGCAGATTCTTTAACTAAGGGAAAAAAACTCATGATGGTGTGTTTTCATTGTCATGGAGTTGATGATGAAGCTCGTGAAGGACTTGGAAATTGCGAGGGGATAATGTACAACTATGATATTAATTTAGCCTTCTGCAGAAATACAATCGTCCTACATTAAGGTTGACAATTTGGTGCCTAGAATGAAATTGTGTACGTACCAGTGCAAAACAACATAAGAAGAAAACAAAATAAATGCCTGACAATGGTATTGAACCAGATGATTTCTTTAACAGCTGTACTCCACAGCCAACTTATAAGCAAATCAATGCAGTTTGTACTGAAGGCTTTGATTTGATATTGTTCGGCTACTTCAGTATTATTCTACATGTCTCTATGTGTCTTTAATTAGAGTAACAAGGAAGAAGCATATACCCTGAGGATGCTTCCACCAGCAACACCGCCTTTTATTTCCTCAACCTCGGAACCAGGCTTGTTGACGTCAAAGGATCGGATTACAATCATATGCGGCGGTGAGACAAAATTCCTTTCCGGAACAGGTATCTTTTTCACAATATACTCGCACACAACGTCAACATTATACTTCAGCTGAGCAGAAATTGGAACCACCGGTGCACCTTCAGCAACAGTTCTCTGCAATGTGAAAACCCCACATTATTTCAATACTAAAAATTTAAAAAGCAGGAAATGAATGACATTCAAAGACAAACCGTACAGACCTGGACAAATTTTTGAATCTCTTCCTTCTGATGGATGGATACATGTTGCGGAACCAGATCAACTTTATTTTGGACGATAATAATATGTTTAAGTCCTATAATTTCAACAGCAACGAGATGCTCGGCAGTTTGAGGTTGGGGGCAATCCTCATTGGCAGCTATGAGAAGTAAAGCTCCATCCATAATTGCAGCACCATTGAGCATAGTAGCCATGAGAATGTCGTGTCCCTGTAGGAAATAAAGGAAAAAAACATCAAGTAGTTAAAAGTTAGATTAACCTACAATGTCTACAGTTTTTTTTTTTTTTTTAAAGAAATTCCTACTCTCATTTTTTTCTACAATAAGCCTTTTTCACAAGTTTGGATGTAGCTCTAAAGTTACTTTCATGTATATAGATCAAGTCCGAAGATAATATTGGGAAAAGTACTTCGGGATGGGATAGCTTATTACCGGGCAATCGACAAAAGATATATGTCTGAGTAGTTTCATCCTACACTTTTCGAATCCAGGCACATCACAGAAGGGACTATCTTCTGTTGCACTTCCATATGCCCTGCAGATGATATTTTTTTACGTACATTAGACTAAAGTTGCAAAGTACGATGTTAAGTAATCATTACATTTCTTAAACACGAACATACTTGTAGCACATAGGTCGAGGGCACTGTTCATCTTCACATTTGTATATCTTTGCATTTGCATATCCAAGCTTAATAGTAATGTTCCGCTCAAGTTCATTTTTAAAACGAACTGTCTGCAAATTAATGTCAAACCATAAGAGCCACTTCTACAATATATGCACGTAAACATTTGTAAAAAAACAAATGGAGCTAGGTTAAACATACTATGTTCTAATTCTGTGCATATTTCTTGTGCAATAGCTAGTAAAACATTAATTTAATGAACTTTTAACACTAGAGCAAAGCAAATAAATGCTGAATTAGAAAAGAAATAAACTTTCTTCCCTTGGTTGACAGTCATAATATCACAGGAAATAGTTAAAGTCACACAAGTATAAGTCTACTAATTTCAGCCCCTTAGAAATAGAAATTAAGAAGCTAAAATTACCATTAAGGACGACAGCAACATTTTAGTTGTAAAAAAAAAAAAAAAATGGCACACAAGCAGTATCAGAAGTAAGCTAGAAAAGCAGTCACCTGGATGCCAGATATCGCTTTCACCAGCGTCGATTTACCATGTGCCACGTGACCAATAGTGCCTGATAAAAGATAATTAGGTCCAATGTATTAGTGTCAACGATAGGATTAAGGATTAGAAATCACACCCCATTTAAAAGGGGTTCACACATTCATACGTAGTAACGATGATTACCAATATTTATTGTAGCCTGACGAGAAATAACTTCAGGTGAGAGTGGATGTAACTGTGTTACATCCAGCTTGCTTAAGTCCTGCTCCATCAACCCTCCTTTCTCAGACATTGTTGCTTTGTTTACTTTCCACTCCTATATAAGCAAGTATTGTCATTCAAAAAATCCCGAAATAAGAAGGTGTTTGTTCATGGTGACAGAAATATGTAAAGGCCAATAAATTATACAATTCAATTAAAAAAATAAAATTGTCCTTGTACCAAATAGTTTTAAATCATTGGTTTTAATTACTTCGTATACAATTTAAGCTAACCCAATCTTTAATACTGAAACATTTATTATATTATTCACTTCGAGTTCAATTTCATTAATGTAAAGCAAAAACGAAATGGGTTTTTATGCAAACAAGACTCCTTAGTAACTAAGTTTGTCAGCAATTGCAAGCAGGACAGGTAAGTTGCCATAGCTTAAATCCATAGTGAAACAAAAATTCATTTGAAAATTTAGAATACCACCATTATTATTAAGAAAAAAATTTGAGTGTGTCCTATTAAAAGGGCTTATATATACACACACTCTAGTTTTTGTATAAGATTCTAAATTTGCACAGGGTAAGTCTTGTTTTTTAAAATCAATACATGGGTGATCTGCAATTGGCATATAATAAGCCTTGTAGTTCTTGTATTAAATTTCTTTTCCCCTTTTAATACTGAAAACCTTATTATATTACAATTTCATTAATGTAAAGCCAAAACGAAAGGGATTTTTAAGAAAAGAATGATTCCTTAGTAACTATGTTTAGAGAGTGTCCCATTAAAAGGGTTCATGTATTGACACGTATATAATAACAGAGGTCTATAATGGCATATATATACACACACACATACACACACTATAGTGTCCCATACAAGTTAGCAGTTGCAGAGAGAGAGGGGGGCAAGCTTGAGAGTTGAGAGACAGCGGCCCGGCGGCTGAAGCTTGCGAACGGCGAACGGCGAACGGCCAACCGGAACTGGAACGGCCGGCGATGGAAACTGAAAGGTATGGGTTTTGATTTTTAGAACAATCTGAACGGCGGGCGATGGAAACTGAATGGTATGGGTTTTTAAATTGATGGCACATATATATATATATATGAATGCAGGGGCGATTTTCCTTTTTAGTAATTCTAATCCTACTTTATATCAAAGTACGAAACAAATAGAAAAACAAATTTGGGGCAACGAATTTGGTGTGTGTGTGTGTAAAATACTGTAGCGCAAAGGGTGGAAACAAATTTATATATTCCACCTTTTGTCCGAAAAATCTTTATTTATTTTATTTTATTTTTTTTATTTGAACTTGGGAGCAAGAAAATTACACCGCACGATATATACCCCTTTTTTTTTCTTCTCAAAATTCTTTATTTATTTTATTTTTTAACTTGGGGAGCAAGAAATTCGTATTTTATTTTTTATTTTTTATTTTTTATTTAACACTAAAACTTTGTACAATTTAAATCTAATACCTGGGAATTTTACAAATCACACACTTATCCATTTTTACGTTTTAAAGGAGAACCAATGGGCTTCAAGTGAGAATTAGAAGAATAAAAGTTGGTCGAATTTAGGCAACAATTTTCTGCTATTGGATATAAGATTATTCTATTTACACAAATTTCTCTTAAAATCTACATTCACCCAAACCAATTGTCTTAAAATTTATTTTGTTTTTTGTTTTTGTTTTTTTTTTTTTAATTCAATCCTATCACGATTTAATTTTATTTTTCATTGATTAATTGATTTTGTTATGTGACTTAGCTGTTTTGTTTTTCTTAAGTGATTAATTGTGTTTGTTTAATTAATTTAATTAATATTTGTGTGTATTTAATTTACATGTTAATTGAGATTGATTTAATTATATTATTTGAATTTATTTAAATTGATTGCCTTAGTAATATGTAACTTGGATTTATTACCTGTTTAATTACTATACTTATTTAATTGTTTTATTTAATTAATGTAATGTTTATTTATTTTCTGTATGGTAACTTAAGGTTACAGTTATATTTTTTAGTATAGGTGAGCCGCCGTAGGTTTGAACTGAGATAGTTTCATGGGCCGGTTAGGATAGGGATTAGGGCTTAGTCTCTGGTTATTCGTGGACTAGGGTATTAATATACACCTATAAATATAAAGCAATACATGGTTTAGGGTTTGGAGAACAGAATAAACGTATGTTCTGTAAACTACAAACAGAGTCCTAAATTGGTAGTGAAAACCAGAAAGATACAAAGAGAACCGAAGTGGGAGTTTGGGTGGTTCGCAAAACAGAATCAAGGACGGAAGTTTGGTGTGTATTACTGGACTGTAGTAGGAGCAGCAAGGGTGGTTTAACACTCAGAGACGTGGAATTAGCTTTGCAAGTTTGGGTTTCAAAGGCAAGTCTTGTTCTTACTCTTTCCCTTTAATTCGTGTTCTGTGCATGCCTAGTTAAGACTCCAGGGATTAATCAAAGATTTAAAATAGATGAAACTAATTCTGTATGCATGTTTAAACCAGTTTCTGGTTCCATCATAGTACTCTGCCTTATTGTTGCTTAAAAGTATTAACTGGATACTTGTTGCCGATTGCTTTCAAATCTGGTGTTAGATTCCTATTGTGATCGTATATTAATGTTGGAGGATTAGTCTGAGACATTAAACGAGCTCTAAAATAAGTACTTAAAACAGTGTTTGAATTCACCAAAATACTCTGTTGTGGGTTGCTTATAAATTTCAGACTAAGTTTCTATGGTCAGTGATTCTAAACCTATTTTTCTATGCATGCTATCATTGCGTATAAGTGATTTAAAATTTATCTATGACTGAGGTTAAACCTAGAACAGAGATTTAAAAGCATCACAGAAGCTCCGTTAATCACCGGAGTTGGAGAAGAAAACACAGAAACAGTCGACGGCGTCTAAGGGAGTGAGAGCGGGCTCAAAAAGGGGACAGAGCCGGCTCTGTAACCCTTAGAGCCGGCTCCCTAATGTTGGAGCCGGCTCTTGGCAGCCTTAGAGCCGGCTCTTAGGGCCATAGAGCCGGCTCAATCATCCAAAGAGCAGGCTCCATTTTTCTAGAGCCTGCTCTTGTCCAGTTTTTGCATTTCTGTGAGGTTTTGGGCGTGTTTGGGCTATACAGTGTTTTCAGAAGCTGTTTAAAGGCTATTGTAAGGTGTAATTAAATGTTTGGGACTTATTAAAATAGTGAAAAACATTATTACAATATTGGATTAAGGAAAGGAGTAAAATACAGCTCAAGAAAAATCTATACGTTGCACTATTTTGCTAAGAGATTTAATTACTAGAACTTAGCAAATTTTTGGTATATAAATTAATTATATTTTATCATATTGTCCACCATGTTATAAACATAGTGGATTAACTGTAATTTCAACTATGATTGGGTTGGAATCCATTGGTACTCAATGGTTGTTAAATGGTATCAGTTTATGGACTATATGTGGAATTTAAATGCTATGACCTATTTTAGCTATTTAAATTATTGGATCATGATATTTAGGTTTTGAAGTGAATACCTAATGTTGATATATATGTATGAATTCATATTGGTGCACAAATTTGGAGGATGGCAATTAATTATATAGTGTTGTTTTAGTAACTATGCTATGTTGGAGGATTCGCTAGTTTTATATATTGGAGCTTAACAAGGTTGTTAAATATGATTTAAATATATATAATAAATTATATTTCTGGGGTATTAGAAGTAAAGTGAATTAACTGGAATAACCTGTGCTTAGCTTGGGTGTAGTTGATGCTTAAATTTCTGTTAACTGTATCAATTCATGGATTATGATGGTGAATGTGAATGCTTGAATTTATTGTAGCGATTTACATTATTGGAGTTGGATTTTAGGCTGTATTGAATATCTAATATTTACGTATATAGATTAACTTATCTTGTGCATACTGTGGAGTGTGGTTGATGACTACTTAATATTGTTTTGTCAACTATGTTAACTGGAGGATTGTATGTACCGGTATGGGACGGTGACATACTAGGTATGGATTAGCTCAAGTACTAAATCCTACCTAATTTGTAATGAGTTGGATTAACCATAAAAAGGTTAAGTCCTACTTATATGGATATATATGAACCGGTATGGGACGGTGTCATATTAGGGATGGCTTAGTTCAAAACACTAAGACCTACCTATATTGGGAATGGATTAGTTCAAAACACTAAGTCCTACCTAATTTGGATCAAGGTATAGATTAATCATAAAGGTTAAGTCCATCATCTACATGTGTCATATCAGTTGTGAATTGAATGACCTACTAGGATTTCAGGATGGATTTGTTATACATATATCAGACCACTACACAGATGGATGGTATACTGTATTAGGAGGAGTACGGACTTTATATATATATCATATGGTACCGTGGAATGAGCTTGAGTCTCATGACCATGGTTAGGGTGCGTATATCGCCTAGGATGGATAACTGGACATAGGTGTTGTTCCCTGGTAGGTCTAGGTACCCATGCCCACCTTAGGGTGCGTATTCGCATGTTGCCTTCTACTCAGGCTGAGACAGACCTACTGGACTAGAGAGCGTCCTATAGTGTGTACTATATATACATATATGGACTACTCTAGATATTATTGAGTCTTTCTAGGATGTATCTGCGTATCGGATTACTGTTTAGATCGTAGTAGATCAGGACTTGCATGTGGGCCTGACCCACTCTATTATTTTTCAGGTGTTCGACAGTACCAGGCTTAGAGCTTGATCGGGTTTATGCAGATACAGACACTCACTCTTCCGGTTACATAGGATTTCCTTTCTATTTTAATTTTGGATTTTAATTCTGTAAATTTATTCAAGGATTTGGGATTAGGGGTCCACTAGGTGGATTCCCGAGTTGTACGGTTTTAAATCATATTAATTTATTTATTTCAAGTTTGAGGATTCTTATGTTAGATTTCTTTCAGCGTATTATTAATTTGTTCTTAATTCAGTTTTATTTCTGCTTGTTTACATATTAATTGTTTGGTACCCCTCGGATCTGTGCTCGGACTTGATCACCCATGGCTTTAGAATCGAGGGGTATCACACGCACCCTAACC